CATTTATCTACGAAACCTCTGATATCAATCAGCTTTTTTTTTGGGGGGGGGGGGGGGGAGTAGAAAAATGGCTGAATTTAAAAAATATATAATGGATGCTGTCATACAACTCTAGGTAACCATCCAGAATAGTATTTTTAAATGGTATGGAAAGGAATCCTAATTTTCTCTCCTTTCCAAAGGATAGACAGATTCGTTGTAAGCGTATGCCTCCAAGAAAACTGAAATGCTAGAAATGTACAGGAGGTCAACTGGAAGGGAATAAAATTAGATTAACGTTAACCTATTTTTCTCTTTCAAATACCACCTGCTGCATATTTCCAGCATTTGCTGTTTTCCTTACTTACAGGGAAGGGCAGTTGGTACATTATTCAGACAGCTACATCAGACCTATTTTTGCTTGCAAATTAATCAATCCACCATAGTAAAAGTCATTCCAGATAATCAAATCAATTGAGTGAATGGAACTACTGCAATACCCAGGAACTTCCCTCTAATGTCTCCAAAGCCTCAAAAAAACCTCCTTAAACACTTCAGCTAGAGATTGCAAAATTTGATTTCCTTTCTTAAAAATTAACCAAACGTTCCCTCAGTAGGTGCTGCATTCACACCAATTTCCTGCTTCAATTGCTGTGGCACTTGAAGGAAACCTATCTGAACAAAAAAACTGAATCTATATACAGTACATGCTTCTTTAGGCTAGGAGTATAATCCGCAAATGTACTTTGAAAGAAAACTGTTCATTTTAATGCACAACTATATTATTATAAAACACAGCAGAGTTAAACTGTAGACTAACCTGACCAAGACTAAAAGAGCCTCAGCTGATTTTTTTAGACCGGTGTTCTGGCACTTTATCAACTATTTTCACTTCATTATAAACTGAAAAACGTATGTGACTATTACTATAAAACATGTTGTAGCAATTACTGGGGTGAAGTTTGCTGTGTTTCAAAACTATCGTCAGAAATAAATTAACATTGACTAGTAGTAGCACCAACTTCCTAATAACTGGCTTGTTTGTCTGTTTTCAGCTCCTGTATCTGCCTTGTTTGAATTTATTATGAAAGTACTGCAAATTGCAAGCCTTAAAGCACTTTCAATTTTTTTTTGTAAGTTTAATATTTATTTCTATGGCTGATCTACCAACTATCGGAAACAGGTCAAAATTTATCAGGCTTCAGACTTCAGGCCTAGCCTGCTTGATGTTAACAAGTTAACGTATGTCTGGGGAGAATATGACAGTTGCTCCTTCTCAGGAGATCCATCATACAACACAATGTTTGCAGTTAACAAAATCAGACACTGTGTTATAACTGTTGCAGAACATATGGCTGTTGGTTCTGCTTCCAGGCAGTCAGGTGTCCCTTGATATCACTTCCAGCACGAAGCCAGACAGTTTGTTCCGAATGTACTGCACTTCAGTAACATGGACTACAGACATTGTAGTCTGTATAAGCAGCCTTTGCTCAAACAAGGGGTCTTATAATCTGGTTGCCCTGTAACTTGACTTAAATTATTTGAAGTAATCTAAGAACATAGAGGAGAACCCAATAGATGTTAAACATTTGGGCTTCAGAAAAGCTTTTGTGATTTTCAGCCATTACTCCCCCAAACTGTTGTGCTCTCTGCCTCAATCCCTCCACCTTGCTCTTTCTTAACCACCTTCAAATCACACATGAAGACCTTTGATCTTGCCTATAGTCACTTCCCCCCTCTCCAAGGCTCAGCATCAATCTCTGCCACTGTTAAGTGCTTCTAGACGCTACCCTGCGTGAGGGGTGCTATATAAATGCAAGTTGCTATTGTTTGCAGTAGAAGATGCGACAAAAATTAAGGTGAATGGGATTGGTGGAAAAGAAGAATGAATACAGCAATGGCTTCAGAGAAGGAGGCAGGGTTTTTTTTGGGGTCAGACGGGTATCTGACAAATGCAGAAACCCATCACCATACTTAATAGATAATAAACAAGACTGAGTTCCATGCTTGTCACCAACACACAAAACTGCCATGTTGGGAATAGAATACACACACTCTCTCCCTTGAGAGATGCACCCAATTCCAGAAAGTATTAGGCATAGGTTAGCAAGAGCCAAGGCTTGGGGACCCCAGTGTGTGGAGTTTAATCAGCTAAAACTGCATGAAGAGAAGGCTGTTAAAAGTGAAAACGGGTTTTTGCATTTTATATACAGGACCATTGAATATAAAAGGAAGTGATGATGAATCTTTATAAGACATTAGTTAGGTTACGGCTAGAAAGTTGTGTGCAGTTTGGGGTACTGAGCTACAGAAAGGACATAGAAAAGGAGCATTGGAAGATGTTTAAAGATGTTGATACTGAATATAGCTAAGAAGGAAAGCTGGAGTTAGAACTCTTTTCATTAGAACAGACAAGGTGAAGGGTGATTTGATAGAGATGTTTAAATAATGAAAGAGGTTGAAAGCATAGATGATGAGGAACTGTTTCCACTCGTAGGTGATTAGTGGGCAAGAGAGTATTAATTTATCGCTAAGATTACAACTAGCAGCATAAAAGGGAAAGTTAGAAGCATAAAAAATAAAGTTATGAAGGCTGTTGTCCCTCCAAGACGGTTATCTGAATACTGAATGAATTGCCAAGGGTGGCTGATGAAATATGATCAAATGAAGCATTTAAAAGGGAACTAGATACGACTATGCAGAGAAAGGGTATTAGATGATTCATAGCAAGAACAGGAAACTTGAATTATGATAGATGGCTTAAAAGGAGGAAAAAGCACTATAATGAGTGTTCCTAATTGATGTGATTGCTAATGGTCTACAATGTACAATATGCATCTTGATTCAAAATGAATTCAACAATGCTGGAACGGAAAGGGTTGGATAGTTTTGATATGCTGCAAATTGTACTCCAGGTAGCTAAAACTGTTAAAAAAAACATATGTAATACTAGGCTTTATAAATGGGGGCATAGAATACAAAAGTTAGGAAGTTATGATGAACCTTTATAAAATACTGGTTAGGCCTCAGCTAGAGTAATGTGTACAGTTCTGGGAACACTTTAGGAAGGATGTCAAGGCATTGGAGAGGGTGCAAAGGAGATTTACCAGGATGGTACCAGGAATGAGGGACTTCAGTTATGAGGAGAGGCTAGAGAAGCTAGGATTATACTTTTTGGAGCAGAGAAGGTTAAGAGGAGACTTAATCAAGCTTTCAAAATTTCGAGGGAATTCAATAGGGTGAACAAGGAGAAACTATTTCCACTGTTGGGTGGGTAGGTAACTTCAATTTAAAATAGTTGTTAAAAGAAACAGAGGGGAGGTGAGGACAAATGTTTTCACACAGCGAGTTGTTCGGATCTGGATGCATTGCCTGAAAGGGTGATGGAAGCCGATTCGATAATAACTTTTAAGAGAGAAGTAGATAATTATTTGGGGAGGACAACTTTGCAGGGCTATGCGGAGAGAGCAAGGGAATGGCACTGATTTAGACAGCTCTTTTAAAAGAGATGGCACAGACACCATGGGCCGAATGGCCTTCGTCTGTGCTGTATAATTCTATGAAGTGCTTATCCTCGTTTTCTAATATCTGATGCAGGGTTTCAGATTTCCATTCTACATGTGAGAAGTCAATGCATGATAAATAAACTGAGAAGCCATTTTTGGGTGGAGGTGGCAGTCTACTTAAAGAGAGAAGGTGCCACTAGAAGCATTCAATAAACTTAAAATGGACATCAAAATCAGGACACCATATCTTCTCAAAAACTTGAAGTGTTACTCACCACTTTATAATAAAATACAAAACTCTTTAACTGGATTAATGCTTCAAGTTATTAAGAAATATGATTATAACTTTATCAAGATCAAATTCCAAACCTGTTAGAACTCAATCCAATTAATCTCTCTTGTGGAAAAAACAGGGGAAAAAAATCACCTTATTATGTGCACTACTGTGCACTACAGACCGCAAAGGGTATTTCCTAATATAATCATCCTTACATTTGATAAATAAAATATCTCTGCATTTGATATAGCACCTTATCACGTCTTCGAGACGTCTCAAAACGCTTCATAGAATATACTGTACAGTGAATTGATTGTATATTTTGTGGGTGAAACGAGGCAGCCAATTTGCACAGAGCAGTGTCCCACCAGCAGTTGTGGATTGAGAGACCAGTTTTTTTTTTAAAAAAAGGAATTATTACCCCCAGAAAAGCGATCCACCAATTGAGAGGGTTCCTACTTACGGCTAGGTAAACAGAGGCATGGAATAAGGAAACTTGCCCAACATTTCTCCCTGCCCAGAAATCGAACCCAGGTCTCTTGCTTGCAAGGCGAGTGCTCTAACCACTGAACCACAGAACTCCACAATATATGGCGCCTATAATGTTGAAATATCTCAAAATGTTGCAAAGGCAATCGCTGTCCTGTACTGTTCATATATTTATAAGCAGTCACTTTGCACAGAGCAGTGGATTTTTATTTTGGAATCAGCTGAATAGACAGGTTTCCCATTCTTGTATATTCCTAATTTCTTACCTGATCCAAACTCGTTAGGACCAGCTACATAGGTTATTTTGTGCTGATATGTCCTCTGCTCTCTGGTGAAGCATCTCTATATTACTCAGCTAATTTAACATCTGACTAACTGCAGGGATAACTATACATCCTAAACAAAAATCCTGAATACCATTTCTTCTTTTGATAATTCTTTTTGTAAATACTGCAAATTACAGTCAGATATATTCTTGTAGAATATGTACATTCTTTTTGTTCCTCTGAGATACTATCCTACATGAGGGTTGCTGGATAAATGCAAGTTGTTGCTACAGGCATGATAGGAAATGCAATAATTTTAAAATATAGAAAATTAAGAAAAGTAGTTATTTATTTTTAGAATAGTCACAAAATTATTGAAAAGCATCAGAGGTGATGCAAGCTTTCTTTCTTCATCTTAATGGGAAGCACAATTACAGCTTCATATTAAACTGAACTTTTTCTTTCTTATATTCAACAAAATACCTTTTCAGCCTTTTTGTCTGAAATATCTTGCTTTTCCAGCATGGCCATGCTCTCTTTTAGGTTTTTGACAATGTCAGCTGGACCTTTGTGCGATTTGCCGAACAATGGCATGATTGTTCTGGAATTATTTCCACTTATTTACCTAAAACTGGAAAATAGAGACAAGAATTAGATTTTATTAAAAAAATTTAAATCATCTGCATTTAAGTTACAAACATTTTACTACATACTAAGACAAAAGTAGAAATAAGTGGATAGAAATAAGATCCATCTATCAATCAAAAGCAAGGATTATTATCAATTTCTTCTTCTGCAGGCAACAAGGCTTTATTCAGTGAATGTCAATTTGGCTTGTAGGAAGCATTCTTGCTCCATGTTGGGGATTGAGCTCAATCTAGATTTGTCATGACTGTTTGTAGGATCTTGCACTGCATAAAAGGGCTTCAACATTTACCTTCAATAAATAATCACAATCGTTAACACTATAATTACTATAAATTTCTATGATACAATTTGGCATAAGATGCTATAAAATGCAAGTTCATTCTTTAAGGTGAGGTGGTGGCAAAGCTTTGTGCTAGGCAAACTTCTTTGCATTCAACCAAAACATCAAGAGGCTCTACTGTTAAAACAGTACATTTAAATCACCTACTAGTTAATCTAATTAAAATTTTGAACAACAATTAAGACAATTTTAAAACAACTCAATTTACAAGCTATTCAGGTTTTAATGAGTATGAAACACTATATAATAATAATATTACTATAAACAGCAATTACTGCGAAGTGTTTTGGGAGATTTCATAGGAACAGGAGTAGGCCATTCAGCCCGTTGAGCCTGTTCCGCCATTTAATTAGATCATGGCTGATCTATATCTTTACTAGAATTTCAAATCCAATTTCCCACTTTCTCCCCGTCTCCCTTAATACCCCTGACCTACCAAAAATCTGTCAATCTCTTTCTTGAAGGTGTGGATTTTTGACATTTCACTGTCATTTAAAGATGGGAGGAAATTATTCAGGCCCTTGATTCTGTGATACCAATCCCAGTTCCCCACCATTGCCTCATACGTTTGAATATTATATTTTTGTTATTATAATAATCTCAAAATTCAAGTTCCTATAGTCAAAAAAGTTACCATTTGTCCACAAATAGAATAAATTTTGCCCTATAATAATGATGACAAATGGTGTTTAGAGTTAGACAACATTTTGAAAGCCCACTAAACACAGATGAAATTACCAGCAGCATTCTTCAAAGTTGTTCCAAACATTAGGTGTTCTATCCTTCAGAGCCAATCAATTTCTACATATTTTCAGCTTTGCTAAATCTTCACAAGGTCCCATTTTAACAATAGTCTAATAAAATAGTCACCATAATCTTGTTTGGCTGGCTGAGAATGAAGGCAAGAACTATATATTTTTTAGTGCCGTTCGTCAAAATGTTTCCAAGTGCTTTACAGTAATTATTGGCATATGTAGTGATGGTTTTGTGAGCAACGTAGCCATTTCGCACAACATTGTTCCACAGACAGCCATGAGGTAAATGTCCAATTCATCTGGAGTATTTAGCCAAGGCACAGAGAGAAACACACTTCACTTTTTCAATTGGGCTATGGGATCACAAAGCTAAGGCCTCAAGTGCAGTGGTCTTCTGTCCCAACCAACACAGCAGCCCATCAGTGCCATGCTTCCAAGCCTCAAAGCATTTCAAAGCCATCCCAAAAGAGGATATTCAATAGCCTGACCAGGATCAACAATTGTGATCTATATATAGTAATCCTTGCATTTGATACAGCACCTTAGCAAGTCTTCGAGACGTCTCAAAGCGCTTCACAGATATACTGTAAAGTGAATTAATAAGAACATAAGAAATACCAGACAAAAAAGTCCAAGATCCACCTAGTTCGCCTTCCACCTTCCTGGTGGTCGCATGCACCTAAGTCCCAAACTACCGATATGTACTATATCCCATAATGTTATTTCCTGAAAGAAAACTTTAGGATCTTAAAGAGAGCAATCATGTCATCTCTCAATCTTCTCTTTTCCGGGATAAGTTGGATTTTGCTACCTCCTTTCACTAATGTTGCAAACAAAAACGGTTGGTGCAAATTGATTGGGTTATCCCATTATCTCTGCTAAATGTAGTTGCTACACAACAAATTGCAAATTTATATCTCTAATTGCTACCGTTTCATCTGCCCCTCTTTGAAACCATTAGACTATTATTACTTCCAGATTAATTATTGAAGCATCACAGAAGTAAAGATCCCGGCAAGAGTTAATCTCAGACGTGCCACTGCACTGCATACAAAAGCAATCTATTATTTTAGAATCTGAGAAGCAAAGCTTTTTAAAAAAAATGTTGGGTTAGACTATCTCTGTGGTGCAACAAAATAGCACACTCATCCACTGAATGGCAGGATGTGGATTTGCACCCGTGACATATTTACATAGATGAAAAAAGGTACTTCCCAACAAAGGAAACACTAACACACATCAACTATTTTGTACTTCTGTGCTCCTCTCCATGGTTTATTGCTTTCATGTATGTTGTATGTTCATTCCCACATACAGGAATTGGGAGTAGAGGGGAAAGTCAAGCAAGAAAAAGATAAATATATGTTCTGAAAATGCAAGGGAAAAAAAACTCCCTTGAACCTCCAAAAACTTAAACTAAAATGTTTGAAATCAGCACAAGGGAAAAATCAGCCAATAGAACTATTGTGAGAGCTATTACATGACATACACAGTATTAATAAAGTCTAAAATGGTGTGCCATGTACTACTCTGATGTCAAACATCACCTGGAAGCGACAGTCACATGAACACACAGATTTCTAATTAGCACAAATACACCCTCTCATAATAGTGTTTAGGGTGTGTACCCAAGAGAAATCTTTCTGTGCATATGGGGATGAGAGGTATTAGAAGCATAAAGGGCTCGAGTCAACAGAACGTCCTGAACTATTCTAAAACAGCTCCTCAAATGGCACCAATTTAATGACAAGACGATAGATTAGCCCTTTCTGTGTGACATAAACAGTTTTACGACTTCACAGTATCTGTTCCGATATTTAGAAGAGTTTTTTGTTGTTTGAAAAACTGCCTTTGCAGCTCCACCTAAAAACTATTGTAATTTGACATATTTCATTGGACATGGAAAATCTACATCGCTTACCTGTTTGATAAACAATGGGGAAGGCAAACAAAGAAACAGAACGATCCTTTCAGGCCAAAGGTTTGGGCAAACAAAATCAGTCAAGGCAATCTTGTAGTTTAACAGCAATCCTCCTAGGCTTCTGTACTTTGCCTAAAAGAAACAAATAGTCAAACTAAAAATGTATTTATTTGAGCAAACGCACATTTTTCTCCATCAAAGTTCAAACTTCATATGCATTTTATCACATTTCTATGCAAACATACATTTCAATAAATGTACTCACATACATTTCAATAAATGTACTCTATATCCCAGTAGGTCACTCTGCAAATATTTAGCTTGACTGGTGTTAATTAAATGTCCAATTTAATGGAATTTCTGATTACACCCCGTCATGCACAGGAAATTAAGTAAGGGCTATAAATAAGCGAACCATATACAGCACTCTGCTACGATCTTCCATTATTCATCAATGGCTTTCAAATCACAGGGCCTCAGCAATTACAACATTCACTCTTCTCACAGTATAATGGCCGAATCACTAAACCTTATTTGAGGCAAAAATCTTGTTTCTTTCAATTTGTTTAACCAACTGCTACCATCTCAGACCTTTGATGACCCCTATTATTACAAGTCTGCCTCCTGAGGCAAGCAGTCCCTGAAGGCAACTCAGAATATGGTGCCAAGATCTGGCATCAAATTTTTGGAAGTCCTTATTTGGAGTTTGATCTTCTGTTGTCACTGCATACAGCAACTACAATTCCATGCCATATATATTCGAAAATAACGTCACCTGTGATTGAGTGAGAGAGCTTTTGTTTCTCTTAACTCACCTTTTTGCTCTTACAGTATTTTAATGAAGAAATTATAATTTCTTGACACTTTCCTCTCAAGACCTCTTGAGATTGGGGAAGGCATCATGGTGTAGTAAATAGAGCTGCCGTTTACAGACCTCAAGGTCGCGAGTTGAAATTTTAGTCTGTGTTGAGTTTGCTAGTCCCAGCCAGGGCTCAATAGGGAGCCTAAACTGGTCGGCCTTTCTCAGGATTAAGAGGGGAAAAACAGTTGTGGCTTGCTCTTGGATACTCTAGAACTCCCCATTTTGGTAGTGCCCATGTGGATATAAACATTATAAAACACTGGGATCTTCATCCTATATGATCCTGATTAAAGGACAAGTTACAGCTTAGATTGTCAAGAATGATTCTGAAGACGAGAGAATTGCTATAACGAGAAGCTAAAGTGGTTATGATTCTCTGTTGAAGCAATGAAGGTTGAGGTGCAAAATGACGGGTATTGTGAGATCGTGAAAGGATGAGAGAATAAAACATGAGAAATTACTTCTACTGGTAGATGAAGGACAAGATGACATAATTTTCCAATTAAAACCACGAGTGGGAATGGGAAAGTTAGGAAGATTTTTATCTCCCAAAGGCAATCAGAATATTAAATGATATGCTACAGTTATCTGTTTTAGAAAAGTCAATTAGGCATTTGAAAGGAAAGTAGATAAGCACATGTGGAGGAACAATATTAGAGCATACAGAGAAAGAACAGAGTAGAACTAGAATAGTTTCATTGGAGAGCAAAATGGCCTACTGTGTTGTTGAATCTCTGTTGTTCCCAATAAAAAAACAAAGCTAAAATGTTCACAGAATTAATATAAATTGAACTGATTAAATCTCCTTTGCTCCCAAGTTACACAAGATACAAAAGACACCAGTAACACTAGTTAGCAACAAAAATAACCTAGTCAGAAGGATTGCTTTTGCCTTGAATTAGGACAGTTACTTCCCACGCAGTCCATTTAAAGTAACAATGTTAAAAAAGCCTGTTTATTTTTCTTCTGCAGTTTAGCCCTAGATCATTTCTGATAAAACAAAAATATTGCTGTTGTGTACATTCATTCCAAACAGAACAAAAATACCGCAGGCAGAATTTTTCTCAGGTTTGACAAGAGCAGATTGTTCTCAAACTAGGTCCCCCTCAAGCTTCCTCCTTACCTATTTATTCCCATAGAACTAACTTTGGTTATTAAGATCAAATCATAAACGTTTTGAAAAAAAGTTTCATAACAAATATGAATTACAAATAGTTTGATCTGATCACATTTTGTAATTGTAGTTATTGGCCATAAATTATCTAATACACCAGAGTTCCCAAACCATAGCTCTTGAAGACCTATACTTCAATTCTCCAGGATTAAGTCGGTAAGATGCTTTCTTCTGAGGAAGCATTTTGCACCAAACAATAGGAAACCATAGAACCCTGTCATAAGGTATCCTTTAAAAAGTGAGTTCAGCAACCAACATGGTTGGTTTTGACAAGCAGACCGCTCAGTTCCAATAAAATAAAAAATGGGCAGAGTTGAAGTCACCCACAACATCATTGATGTGCACTGCGCATTACATGAAGAATATATTCAACGAGCACAAAGACTGTGTTAACTTGACAATCCGGGAGTCAGTCATTTTTCAGAGCAGGAAGCCAGTTTGCAAGAAATGACATTGCCATGGCCATTTTGACTTTGTGCCCCATTAACACAATGTTCAGGTTTCTGGATTTAAAACTGCATTGTGATATGTTTCTTCTGTATTTGGAGCTCTGCAGAGCTTGGTTTGGGAAACTTTTAAGCATGGTGATGGTTTCTGTGCATGTACCCTATCGGTCAAAAAAACTCATATGCTCTAACTTCTGGTCATTAAAGTGTTCTTAATGGGATTATATCTGAAGTGGCACAATTTAGGAGTGACGGTAATCTTACACAAAAAAAAGGTACTGCACAAAGAAAATAAGTAGTGTAGTACAGACACCTGGACCATCCTTGTATGTCTTTAAGCTAATGGTTCACCACTTACATCACCAAATGATTTGGGGCCAAATTATCTTCCATCCTTTCCAAATGAGTATATGGAATAGAAAGAGCCAGAGAGGAAGTAAACATCCACATCTATTTTTAAAATATATTTCAGCTACATTCATTTCAACACCATTGGACATCAGAGACACCGCCACAACAATTTCCATTTATATAAGTCTTTCAACAACAAACAACATGCATTTATTTAGCACCCTTTAGGCAGGGTAGCATCCCAGAGCGCTTGACAGTGGGAAAGTTTGGCAACAAGCCAGGGGGAGAGGGAGGTGGCGGGGGTCGGAAGCACGATCAAAAAGGACGGTCTTTAGGTGGAATTTCAAGGTGGGGTAGGAGGGGGCAAGGCGGAGGGATTGAGGGACAAAGTTCCAGAGTTTCACAGCGTAGTGGCTGAAGACACAGCTGCCGATGGTGGAGAGGAGGGGATGAGGGACAAACAGGAGGCCGGAGCAGGCTGAACGGAGACAGTGAGTGCTGGAGTGGGGGGTGCAAGGGCATGAAGGGATTTGAAAACAAGTCCGACGATCTTGAAATTGATCGGTTCGGTAATTGGGAGCCAACGGAGCCTGGCAAGGACTGGTATGATGGGAGGAAGTTTGTTGGAAGGAAACCGAAAGCACTTCACATATTTAAATTAAGAGCCCAAACTTGGGGGTGGTGGGGGGGGAGAAAGGGGAAGAAAGCTGAGAAGGGTAAAGGTAGCCGAACGCCCAATCAAAGAATTGGGCTCAAGCGGATTTTGAAAGGGAGGAGAGAGGGGGCAAGGCGGACTCTGGGATAGAATTCCAGAGAACCTTGGGCTTTCCCACTGGTAGTGGGGCAGATTGGTCAGGGACATGAATGAGAAGCATTTGCTGAGAGGGCAAGTCCAGGGCAGCAGGGTCAAGAGTTTGCAAGGACAGTGAGAGTCCAGGCCATGGTGGTATTTGAAAGAAAAGCTGAGAATCTTGAATTTGATCACTTGGGAATGGAGTTGAGCAAGGATGGGTTTACGAAGCCTCATGAGTTCCAGATGGTCTGAAGCTTATGCAGTGAAGAGCTGAGGACTCTGGTAAGCAGGCTGTATGACTCCAGCTTAGATTTTATTAAGGTGTGGACAAGTGCTCAGCTGTCTGAGGGTGGGGGGGAGGAGGGAGAAGGAGGGAGAAGATGAGTGATATTACAGAGTTGAGAGAAAGCAGAGCTAGTGAGAGCCTAGACATAAAGTTTGAAGGATAGTTGATAATGGTCAAACAAGACACCAAGATTTCACACCATAAGGTGGAGTGAGCACCCATCCAGAACATTGGTCAGTGCCTGAGATGAGAATGCGCTGACGGAAGTCAAGTGGGAGAGCTTCAATTTTGCGGTCAGCAAGGTATAGAAACATGGATGTTACAACCTCTAAAACTGGATGTCTGACAACCAATCAGTTAGAACAACAGTGATCCTGGCATTGAGGGTAGAGGAAGAGAGATCGAGTTGATGTTATCCACATACATATGGATAAACCAAGGGGAAACAGACAGTGAAGACAGGATTGAGAATACAGCCCTGCGGAATGCCCTATGTGACTGTGCAAGTACGGGAGAAGCGATTGGAGATATGTCCATGTAGAGCTACTGGGATAGGTAAATGGAACCAGAAAGCACAGAGCCAGGAGGGTGGAGCAGGGAGAAGAGATGTCACTATTCTCTTAACTACAGGCTGTGTAAGTCCAGCATTAGCATAAAAGGGGATTAATTGTTGGCTATTTTTGTATAAACTGTCCTTTACTATGCAGCACAAAATGCATAGCTTAGCAATTGATATTTCAATAGCATTTACCAAATATATTGCAACATTATCTACTTTCCCAAAATGACAGCAGAACAACATATTATTAGCATGCCAACTACCCACGTGTGCACGTATTCACATTTAGCTCCAATGTGGAAGTGAACGCAGGACTACGATAGCGGCAAAAGGAATGTAGTTTACCATCACAGTGCAACTGTGAACTGGCAGTATAGAGCGAAGGAGGGACTGAAAGAGAAAAGAATAAACGAGAGAAATAAGAGTGAGAGAAAGGCAGAGAGATGGAGTATTATGTAGCATTATGCTGAAAGTATATAGTAGAACCTCATTATAAATCCCAATCCACATTATAGCTCGGCACAATGTGACTCCACATGCATGCAATGGGAGTACGCTGGCTGTTTCCTGCGTTAAAAGAAAAATATAAACCAACTTCCAGATCATTGATGCCACTGAGTTAACTTAATGACTCGAATGTTGGTTATCATTGCACAAAAAGCAACTGGCAAGTAAGAAGCAAGTTGTAAGCAAATTCACATTGTAGTGAAGTGCATTATAACAGGACTGTAACTCAGAATTTTGAGGGTTTGTATTATTGCCAATTTGTATTTTTCATAACCATATCTGCACACCACAATGGGGCCGGTCCCAATTAGGTCAGATAACTGGCAATTTGTTGTGCTAAAACTTAATTCAGGAACATGTGTAACTTTTTTGAAAAAAATAGCAAAACTTAAGAAATTATTTGATGTGTTCATATTCTGTTCGATTAAGGATCTTTGATTCCAATCAGTTCCACCCAAATACAATATATATTTAGCCCAATCAACTAACACAAAAATGATACTAACTTAATATGTACTGTAATTTTGCACAAATTTCTGTAAATTAAATTCAAGCTTAGTTTATGGAATATGGTCATTAGCTCAAATAAAAGTTTTTAATCATTAATTTTCACAAGTGTTTATTGCAAAGTAAAGCTTTTATTGCTATTTATGTCAAAATAGTGGGTCCACCAAAAGTGACAGTACTCACTGCTACTCTACATTCTTCCATAGGAAGCAAATATGGGTTGTGATTAAATATTCTGCAATTTAGTTTTAAATGAGATGGTAAATAATAATAATAATAATAATCCTTGCATTTGATATAGCGCTTTTCACGTCAGGAGGACGTCCCAAAGCGCTTCACAGAACACATTGTAAAGTGAATTGACTGTATATTTGTGGGCGAACAAATTACAATACACCTTTAGCTGATGCGTCAAATATTAGTTGTGGGTTCACCATTGGCAAGTAAAAGCTAGTGAAATCAACATCTTGGGATGTCCTCCTGACATGAATGGTACTATATAAATGCAATTTGTTGTTGTTGAAACAACATGCTATAATTGATAAGTGGATTTAAGATGCTGACTTCCAGTCTTCATAAAATGTACAATAAAAACTCTGCTGATTCATCTGAATCTCTTCAATAGAATACTGCTTTATAATTCAGTTCAATCAACCCATTATCTTCTATAATCTAGAATGCACTCTTTTGGTGCTTGCGTTAAACTAACCCAAAATATTTCGAGTGTTGTCTGTACCTATTCAAGTCAGGATGTAATTTCTTAAGGAGTAGTTATGTTCAGTCACGTTTGTGGCTGCCCCGCCTGACTTGACATTGAATATCAGGTTCGGCCACTTTTGAACCAATGATAGTTTTTTTAAAAAAAAAGTTACACCCATTTTCCAAAACGGGCAGATAATTGGAATTTCAAGTGGAAGCATTGAACAGGGACCAATAAGTAGGAAAAAAAAACAGAGCTCAGAATGCAAAAAAAAAAAGGTAGAAGTGGGTTAACACAATAGAACACCATGAAGAGAGGAGAAAGCAGCGACAGGGAAAGTGCAGGAGTACAATATCCTCTTTTTATATAAAAAAAATTGATTTGAAAATCCAGGCGGGGATTGATTGATGTGTTGGCACCACAGACGTCCCCGGGGTTTGAGCCGCTTTATCGCCCCATTGGCTTCATTCGGCGGCGCTTTCGGGGCAAAACCCGAAAAGGTTGATCCGGCCTACGGGAACGGGAGGGTCCAGACACCAACCCCCTGATGGTGATCCGCAATCGGATGTCCTCAAGGGGAGGGAAGGAGGGAGGGAGGGAAGGAGGGAGGAAGCCAGTCGAGTGCAATTCAATTCTGTTTCACTTTCCAGAGAAATAAATATTTGCATACTTTTTTTTTGTGTGGGTGGTGCGAGACTGGATTGTGGACACATTTGACAATCTATTCCTGTGGGGGAAGGATTGGAGCCATTTGCAGCAGCAGCAACAACAACAACAACAACAACAACAACAAAAAAAAGAGGTGAGGTGACTTAACTGCTCGGTGGCCACGTTAAACACTTTCGACGTAGCGTAAATAAAATAAAATAAAATAACAGAACATAAACGTAACGTACTCCCCCCCCCATCGGGGCACAAAGAGCTCCTCCCCAGCCTTCGCCGCCCTGTGCGCACGTTGTTCGCAACTCACCCAATTCTCGAGGCAATGCCGGAATTCAAGTGCTACAGATTGAAGTCGGGCACTCGCTCGTAACCCGTGATATCTGAGCCGAGAGAGAGAGGAGAGAAAAAAAAAGTTGATCTCATCAGAAATGCGATCCTATCCGGAGTCATTTCCCCCCCCCACTTCTCCCCCCCCAACTCTCTCCCCCCCCCACTCTCTCCCCCCCCCCACTCTCTCCCCCCCCCCCCCACCCAGCACCGCACAGCCCCAGCACTGTACAGTCGCAGCACCGCACAGCCCCAGCACTGCACAGCACAGCCCCAGCACCGCACTGCACAGCACCGCACAAGCACCGCACAGCTCCAGCACTGCACAGCCCCAGCACCGCACAGCTCCAGCACCGCACAGCTCCAGCACTGCACAGCTCCAGCACTGCACAAGCACAGCACCGCACAGCCCCAGCACAGCACAAGCACAGCCCCAGCACCGCACAGCCCCAGCACAGCACCGCACAGCCCCAGCACAGCACAAGCACTGCCCCAGCACAGCACCGCACAGCCCCAGCACAGCACAGCCCCAGCACTGTACAGCCCCAGCACTGTACAGCCCCAGCACAGCACCAGCACAACAGCACAGCCCCAGCACCGCACAGCCCCAGCACTGCACAGCCCCAGCACTGCACAAGCACTGCACAGCCCCAGCACTGCACGGCCCCAGCACTGCACAAGCACCGCACAGCCCCAGCACTGCACAAGCACAGCCCCAGCACTGCACAGTCCCAGCACTGCACAAGCACAGCCCCAGCACTGCACAGCCCCAGCACTGCACAGATACACAGGCCAGCGAGGGAGGGAGGGAGGGAGGGAGAGAGCAACAGGAAAAAAAAAACCTGCGAGAGAAGAGTAGGGGTCGGTGGATCGCGACACATTGCTCTTTACAAATTGCACGGGAGTATACAGCTGTACAGTGTGTGTGTGTGAGAGAGAGAGAGAGAGAGAGAGGGAGATGGCGAGCGGCGCTGCACAGACCCGGGGCTCTGCCCATTGATTGACGGGCGGGGGGGGAGGGGGAGGGCGGAGCATGCGCAGTAAAGCTTACCGAGCCCGGCTTGAGATGCGAGGGAAGCGGCGCCGCGACTCGAGACAACCTTCACTCGGCGGCTACGATTCACCCCATATACAAAACTTCCCCCTCCCCGCCCCTCCCTCCCTCCCCGCCCGCCACTACACCGCCTCCCCCCCCCCCCCCAAGAGCAGAGGCAGAATAACTGCTCCGTCCTCGGCGACCCGTAAACGCGCCTGTGTCAGCCGCTCCTCTCACCGAGCCGCGCGCTCCCTCATTTCCTGTGTGTGTGTGTGTGCGCAAAAGCAACGCCCCCTCCGCGCACGCTGAAAGCTGGGCAGTACGTCACCGCTTCCTGCGCACCCTGTGACATCATCGCGCGTGCGTGCGTGCGTGCGTTCAGCGTGCGTGCGTGCGTCCGGATGGCTGGGTGGGTGGGTGGATGGATGGTTGGTTGGATGGATGACCAGGACCAGCCACAGAGGATTGTCTCTGATATTCTGTTGCCAAACATGTCGTGTTGAACTGAAGTCAGTTCACTCCGGGGAGCCCTCGCTTACGTCCCCGCCCCCGGGAGTTAGGAACACAAGGGCTGAGATTCAGTGACAAATCTCAAGAGCCACAATTGGACAGTTACCCCACTACGGTCTGTTTCTGGATTGCCCCCCCCCCCACCCCCCACACCGTACACTTCCAAGAGTGGATGGAGACTCAGAATTTAAACAGTTCGAGATGTTCAAAAAGGCCAACGTAGTTTCCAAGAAGATGACGATGGCGTGTGACCGGATCAGATGTGGGCCTTCAGCCACGAAGAGACGTCTCAGAGGATTGTGTTGAAGGACGTAATATGTTCAGTGGGAAAGTCAAGGTTTACCGAGGAAAAAAACTTTTAAGATTTGCTATGGAAGAAAGACAATAGGGTATAGTTACTTATAGGGTTGCAAAGAGTCAAGTTAGGACACTCACCAGGAAGTATATTGAGCAACTGGAATGGGGGTGGTAAAGGCCTTGATGATTCATTCAAGCAAGATTCAGCTTTAAGATGTAATGAGAGGGTAGGGTTGTTAGAAGAACAAGATCAACTTATCTGATTGACCTTCAGCCAAACTTCTGTGATCTGAAGTTTAATTTTAGAGTTTCCTTAGAGCTATGTTTCTATCACTATTCTGCACAGAGTTCTGTGGCCCAGAGTGTTAGAGCGTCAAGTACAACAAGGTGGCTATTGGGTCCTTGCAATATCTCAAGTATATCTGAACTGTTAGATGGAAATTGATATTGTGGGTATGGCTGGAAGAGAGGCTCAAGGCAGCAAGTGAAAAACAACAACAAAATTACATTTGTATATGTTTACATATACATGTCCGGAGGATTTCCCAAGGTACTGACCAGTCAGTGTTTCGGACCCAAATTGGTGGTTGGGATCGGGGAGGGCAGGTGGGGAAGGAGGGAAATCAAAGGCACGGTCAAAAAGGGGGTTCTTGAGATGGGTCTTGAGGGAGGCAAGAGAGAAGGCAAGGTGGAGGGACTGCGGGATGGAGTTCCAGAGGGTGGGGACAGAGTGGCTAAAGGCTCACCTGCCAATGGTGGGGCGGGCAAGGTGGGAAACGTGAAGCAGGCCGGAGCCCGCTGAGCGGAGGGAGCGGGCAGGTTGGTAGGGGGTTAGGAGGTCGCAGAGGTAGGGGGGAGCAAGCCTATTGAAGGCTTTGAAGGTGAGGACCAGGATTTTGAATTGTATCCTCTGTGCGATTGGAAGCCAATGGAATCGGGTGAGGATGGAAGTGATAGGGTCACGCAGCCTGGTGCGGGAGAGGACATGGGCTGCAGAGTTCGAGATGATCTACAGCCTATGGTGGGAGGAGTTTGGGGGGATGCCTGAGAAGCAGGAGTTTGCACAGTCAAGCCTGGATGTTATGAAGGCATGATGGCTTTGGTGGCCTGCGGTGTAATACAGTGGCGGAGCCGGGCAATGTTGCGGAGGTGGAGGAAGGCAGAGCGGGTCATGGCATGGATGCGGGGTAGAAAGGATAGTTGAGGGCCAAACAAGATTCCAGTCCAAGGTTCTGGACTGGCTTAGTAAGGTGGAATGTGTATCCTTGGATAGTGATGCTGTCAGCACCTGAGGTCTGGAGGTGCCAACGGGAGCCAATCAGGAGGGCCTCGGTCTTGTTGACATTCAACTGAAGAAAGTTAGCTCTTATAGCAGGGTTCAGGCTTCCTAGATTTGGCTGGCAGAAGATGTCACTGAACCAAAGAGCATCTGGTTGTGCTGGCATGTTCTAGGGGCTAATCAAAAAAGGTGGCCCGAAGGCTGACAACGAATGCCAGCTATAGGATGTACTTGAAGAAATATCACAACCTCAAAAATGCAAGTAAATATTTACCGAAAGTGGAAAGGTGATGTCCAAATAAATGTCTACATTTCTGTGTTTTATAGATTAATTTGTGTTGAAACATGCCACCTCCAGTTGCATTGAAGCTAACCTCCCTATTAAAAAAANCTTCACTCTCTTTCACCCGCTGGCAGTGTAACAGGAGAAGAATCTTGTGTAAACTGCTCCAAAATGACAGTGCTATGGTGCTATCTGCTGGTAGCAAAGAGGAATAGCAGCCAAAACCTTTCTTTTGGTCAGCCGAGTTTCTGACACATGCTGAAACCCATCACCATGCTTAAGATTATCCAAACCTAACCTTCTAAAGGATAGAGGGATTTTCTAAAGGATAGAGGGATTAAGGGATATGGGGATAGGGTGGGTAAATGGAATTAGGTTAGAGGATCAGCCATGATCCTATTAAATAGCAGGGCAGGCTCGAGGGGCCGAATGGCCTACTCCTACGTCTTATGGTCTTAACTGAGAGTTCCATGCATCCCACCTAAACATGGAAATTCCAGCGATATCTTTTGGAATGGAATGCACACTCTCTCCCTGGAGGGACGCATCTTGCTTATCTAATTCAGTATGAGGTGCAGGTTGGCAAAAACCAAGGCTTTGGGACCTCAGAGGGTGTGTTGGGGTACTGCTGCAGCTAAAGCCACATAGCTTGCCATAGTTAAGTGAAAGAAATGAAAGTGAGTCAACATTTAGGGTCCACGACCCTTCGTCAGAAGAATGGTCATGGACCCAAAAAGTTGACTCACATTCCTTTCTCCATAAATGCTGCCTGACCTGCTGAGTGTTCCCAGCGATTTCTGTTTTTGTTTCAGATTTCCAGCAACTGGAGTATTTTGCGTTTTAGTGAAAGGAATGTTGGATGGAGTTGCAAAGGGTGGGGATGGTAGAGGCTGAAGGCCCAACCGCTGATGGTGGGGCGGGCCGGGGACGTGGAGCAGGCTGGAACCTGATGAGCGGAGGGAGCAGACAATTGATAAGGGGTTAGCACGTCACAAAGGTTGGAAGGGGCAATGCCATGGAGGGCCTTCAAGGTGATGACGAGGATTTTGAACTCTATCCTCTGAGGGATGTGGGTGCCAGTGGAGCTGGATGAGAGTGGAGGTGATGGGGTCAACGAGCCTGGTGCAGGAGTGGACATGAGCTGTAGAGTTCTGGATGATCTACAGCTTGTGGAGGGAAGTGTTGGGAAGGCCGACAAGCAAGGAGTTGGCGTAGTCGAGCCTAGATGCGATGAATGCATGAATGAGGGTTTTTGCACCCTGAAGAGTGAGGCAGTGGTGGAGACGGCCGATGTTGCGGAGGTGGTGGAAGAGAGTGGGTCATGGCACGGTTGTAGGAGAGAAAGGACAGTTGAGGGTCAAACAAGTCCCTATGTATGTTGAATATTTATAGCATATCTATGTGTGTATACTGGCCCATTTCTAACCTACCATTCCTATCCAAACAATTGGAATATATTATTGTTCCCCAAATTCACTCATACATTTCCCTCCACTCTCTCTACTCTTCGAGACCCTCCAGTTTATTTCCATCCTGTGCACAGCACTGAGACAGCGTTTGGCAAAATTACAAATTAAGTACTCTCTCTGCGACCTGTTCAACATGAAAGATGCTATAAAAATAAAGTTGTTAGTAAAAGCTTGAGGCAGTTTGAAATTCAGTGCCAAACTTCTTGGTCCTTTGGAGTACAAAATCAGTTGGGTTCCAGTTTCAGACTGCTCTCAAGAATCCCCTACTGGAAGGTGTACGAAGGTCAGGGTGCTGAACGCTTGACTGTAATTTTTCTCCCACCCCCAGATCAATTGCAGTGGTCGATTATACACAGTAATTACAACAGCATCTTGGGATTGCTTAACAGTGACGTGGCTTGACGAGGTGCACTGAATATCGGGGTGGGTCACCGCAGGCAAGGTTGAATTTATAACAGCACCCTTCACCCTGAATGGCGTCTCGGAGCGCTTAAGTGGCGGAGCCTGACGCCGAGCCAGGAAGAGGGGGAAGCTGACCGTAGGCACTGTCGAGGAGGAACGTATTCCGAGCGAGCCGGAAATGGGGAGGGGTCAAAAGCAAAGGGATTACAGAAGAGTTTGGGGCGCAATGACTGAAGGCGCGGCCACCGATGGGTGTGACGGAGGGCGCGGGGGACGGGGAGGAGGCCGGAGCCAGGCGGGCGGAGGCAGTGGGGGGNGGTGAAGGGGGCAGAGCAGGTTGCGGAGGTACAGGGTGCCAGGGGGCGGGGGAGGGCATTGAAATGCAAGAGGATCTCGAAATGGATCTGCACGTGTGGGTCAGAGCTCTGACATAGCGTACAATAGAGCTGCTGCACAGCAGCTGCACCACAGCAGCTCCTGGGGGGGCGGGGCGCACAGGGCCCCGCCCCCAGCACGTGCTCGTTGCATGACGTCGCCAAGCGTCGCACAATTGGGGCGGTCCATTACCAGCTCCGGCACAAAGCAAAGGGGGTCCACCCGAGTGCCCTCCCTCCCGAAAATCTCGGCAAAGATCGAGTTGAATGAATGCGAATCGTTTTCAAAGCTTTTTACAGCTGATGATTATTAACCCCCGTCTTCGCGTGACCAGAGTAAGGCCGCGGCGCTTCGGTTCTCCCCCCCCCCCCTCTCCCCCCCCTCCCCGTAGGTGCGATGGTACACGCCGGGAGCCGGGTCACGAAGCGGCTGTGACGCGAGCCAGTGTGACGCGGCGGCGGCGGCGGCGGCACGTGGGTGCGCGTGCGAGCCGCTGGCGCTCACTTTGCATTGG